AAACTAATAAAAATTACAAATTGAAATTTCTACCATTTACATATGCGCAATCACCAAAAACAAGCAAATAACGGGCCTTAAAATAATAACAAATCAGGCTTAAAAATTAAAAATAATAGCAATGTTTACCATAGTTTTTTATCATAGTTTTTCACAAACCCCATCATACGTATATACGTGCGTGGGAGGAAATATTATTCAGCGGAAAAATAGAAAAACGGTCTGCGTGTTGACATAGCTAAATTCAGAAAAATTATTTGCTACACAATCCATCATTGAATTCAGCAGTCAAATGCGTACGCATGTACACAACAGCACACATATACATATAGTTGTCAAGTCCCATACTGTTCACATAATGTTTATGTTTGTGTGAGCTCCTGTGGGTGAGCGCGTGGGTATGTGTGTCTACGTACCTCAATGGGTTTACCGATGCACATGTATGTTTGCGTAAGTATGAGTGGCGTTACGACGACAATTTTTCCGGTCACTTGCTTAAAAACACCCATACACGCAACCCTACATATATCCAAAATTGAAAAAATAAATCAGTTTGTCTGACGATTGTAAAAGCGTAAAACCTAGAGTCACAAACTCACATCAATCCAACTAAATATGTTAGCTCTATCTCTGATATTGAGCGCTTTCCAATAAGTACCGAGCATGTAATATATAAGTAATATATATAATATATTGCATATATATATATATATATATATATATATATATATATATATATATATATATAAATATATATATATATATACATACACTTTTCATATATATATATATATATATATATATATATATATATATATATAAACAGACGGAACTAAAGAACAAAAGATAACGATTGATATTGCGTTTACATTTTTGAAAATCAAAGTTGACTGGGAAGCAAGAAACTGGAAAAAATTTCTACAAGGAAGAAGTGAGAGAAAAAAACTGTTAGTATAGAACTTAGGCTTAGATCTAACCATTTCAACTGTAATATTATAAAACCTTGCTGCTAATCTATTACTGCATGTAAATTCATAATGTCTAGGTATCATAGAAGAAAGTTCATCAAGACAATTACCATGAAAATATTTATAGAAAAGGCACAGCTAAACTACGTTACAGCGGTGAGAAAGTGACTGAGTCCGAGATGCTAGGACAACACCAATAACATTTCATATTTTTCTTTATATTTTATCAAGAATCTCTAAATACATAGCAGAAGCACCAAACCAGATGTGACAGCAAAATTAAAATGATGGATATATGGTAGACGTATAAATGTGTAAGATAAAAAAATTGTCCAGCATGACACATTTCTCAACTTTCCTAGCATCAGACCTAGCAATTGATTCAATATAATCTTTCGACTTTATGTCGAAGGAGCAATGAGTCACTATCCTGGAGGTTAACATCAGCTATGCTGATGGAAATTAAACAAATTAAACAAGGTACACTCAGACTATTAAAAGAGACCAGTTTCGTTTTAGAGGCGATACATTTTAACGAGCTATTCCTTGCTCCAGTTAACAACAAATTCTAGTTATTTTTTTAGATCAAATGCTAATCTGGCATTATCGAACCGATCAGACTTACTATTAAGACAGGAGTAAATTGTCGTGTCATCAACATATATACAGAATTTGGTCGTTGATAAAAATTAGGAATAATGTAGGTCCAAGGATAACGCCCTTGTGAATATATATATATAGATAGATAGATAGATAGATAGATAGATAGATAGATAGATAAAGAGAGAGAGAGAGAGAAAGAGAGGGAGAGAGAGAGGATTAATACAAATAAAATTTGTCACTTAGCTGATTGATACAACACCTCGTCGGGAGGTTCCAACAATTGACTTCGGATTTTTTTTTCATTTCCGTTATTTTTATACTAATTTATGCGCTAGTTATTGGTGTTAGTTGGACTTTTTCTATTTGTGGGTGTGTTTATGTACGCGTGTGTATGTATGTGTGTATACACACACACACACACATATATATATATATATATATATATATATATATATATATATATATATATATGTCTACGTGTGTACATGCGTGCATGAGAGCGTGTGTGGCATTTTGTGACCCTAAATTTAATTACGTTTTCTATTTGCAGGTGTAAAGTATTTCTATAAGTTTTGAAGGGATTTTCCCTGTGCAAACAAGTACTTTCCTGCGTATTATTTGTAGCCGTAACATCTTATCCATACCTATGTAAAGAATGTTCATGTTTTTGTGCTCTTCTATTTTTTCACTTTTCTTCTTGAATCTCTGTTACAATTTGTTTTATTTTGTCAGCCTTTTATTTTATTCATTTCTCGCAATCTTTTCACTTACTTAACTCTATGAGCTTAATTTTCTTTCATTTTATCTTAAATGAATAAGTATGAAAGAAACTGCGTGTTCTATTTGATAATATTTTTCATTCTTTTCCTTTCTTTTCATTTCTGCTTTTCTTCCGTTTTTTCTTTTTCATTTTGTTCCCTTTTTACATTGTGCCTTTCATAAGATTTATTTCCTATTTGACTTTGTTTTATCTTAGTCATTCATTTTTTCCATAAATATTATTTATTTTCTTATTTTTAAAGATAAATTCCTTCTTTTCTCTCTTCCTTCTTTCTTCCTTCCATCCTTCATTTCTTTCTTTCTTTCTTTATTCCTGTCCAGAATATTCTGTAGTGGTAAGAAAAAGAAAAAAAATTAACCAGGGTCAAGAAGGGGGAAATAATTTGGATGAAAAGAAATCCTCAGTATGCATAAAGGAAATCTCTCTCGATTCTCCAAAAGAGCAAGAGTCGAAGAATACTCAAAAGTATTTGGTCGTAAAAGTGGCACCGACCGGCAATCCGGGTAATGACAGTCTTCATTGCTGCTTTATGTCAGCGTCGGACCACGGGAAGCCTACAAAAATAGAGCATTTTACTTCGTTAATATATGCGGATTATTGTCATCTTCAATTTTATTTGCAGTTCATCAGCGCTTATAAGGGGCACTCAGCAGTAGCATTGATATGGACTTATTAACTAAAGCCTTGTATTATAGTCTGAAGAAAAAAATTCTTTTACCCTCATATTTGGACCAATAGATTGAATCCAAGGCACAAAAGAAAGAAAGTTCTAGAAGCTCGTCCAATAAAGCGTTATGCAATCCATTGTCCTACGCATACATTCGATAAATGAGTGTCGTTTTTAATCAGCTCATAATGTTCATTCTTTCTCTCTCTAGACATCTTGATATTATTATTATTTTTCAAACTAGGGATTCATAAAGAACGTCAAAGTTTTAAAATGCCTCATTTATACACTACTACTGCGTACAAATTAGTCATGTCCCAGGCTGTATTACAGAAAGTTTCAATGGATCAGTGAAAGATATTTAAATTTTCTTCAACCTTAGAATAACATGTATAAAATATAAAGTCGAGGTCATGTTGTCTTACATAGAGCATTAAAAAAATATCTGCGGAATACATTTGTTTCGTAACTCTAATAATAATATTTAAAATAAAATCTGTAAATTTGCTATGCATCCTATTATTTGCAATAAATATAAGGTTTCACGACTTGAATTAATTCATTGTTCATAAACACTCCTCATCCCGAGCCGTGAGCCGCTATCCATTACACCATCTACACATCCACCCGGCTCCATGTAAGAAATCGGAGAGTCGAGTTCGAATTTCAGTTAAGTTCATTACATTCAGTTACCTTTGAGAAAGGTATTAATCGATCTTTTCTCTTCCAACCTTTAGATCAAATAGCAGGTTAGACTGAAATCTTTAGTTTTGGTTGGCAACTAGCCTAGGAGAAGGATAAATATGAATTTAAAACCGATTTTGCATGGAGCTAGAAACTTCTTATAAAAAGCTACTTGCCCTTGGAACCACAACAACAACTTCCAGTTTTGCTATGAGCTGTGGCTTCATACTTCCTATTGGTATCTACGAGACTTGAATGCATGAGTGAAACACTACAGGTACAAGTGTGCCTATATTTTGATTCTACCAAAATGTTTTATTTCTATTTACTTTTTGTATTTCTATCAATTCATTTATGTAGAAATAATTCTTTAATAGATATATTAACATCTTTTTAGTCTGATTTGTAAACAAACACGAAACCTTAAATAACTATTATTCTTCCGATCCAATATGTTTTTAAACACAAGAGTAAGTTTTTTTTTATGAGTGAGACATTCTAGCAGTATTACTATGTAAAAATATTACACTTGTTTCATTATTTAAAAACTGTTTTGGATTATTTAGAGAAACCAATAAATGTTATTATTAATGTATATTCTCTTGGAATTTATAAATTCCGTTGGGACCAAAACATCTGTTCATCCAACCAATATTTGATCAAAATGTTTTTATTACCACTGATTATTTATGTCTATCAATCAATTCTACAAGTTGTTGTTGAATTACTGCTGCATCGTGAAATGGCATGATTTCCGCGCCTCCATGACATTTGATAATAGAAAAGTCTGCCAATCTGGAACTGGAATAGAAACGCCGCATAAGATATAAATCTGTGTGTTAGTTCAACTCATAGAATATTCTTGTTATGAGTACTTTACCTTTTAAATGTTTTAACAAGAACAACTTAACTATGTAATTCATTAATGCCCACCATTCCAAAAATGAGACTGCGGACATTAATAGGTTGCAAGTAGAAACGCATACTTGATACCAGACTTTTATAAATATTTTATTAATACCGGATTTCTTTTAGAAACCTATAATTAATATAATCAATGCTGGACATTACGATGGACGTTAATGGGTTAATATAACATATTTAAAATAGATTTTTACTCTTACTTTTTCTATAGTCTTACTTTTTCTATAGTATTACGTTTTTAATTTATTATTTTGCTTGTAACTTAAAAAGAAAACGATGTTTTTTATAGATATTAAAAGATAAATTATAAAACATTTTTTAAAAATCAGTACAGGTATACTTGTAAATATGTGGAAGTGAATATGAAATTTTTATGCTTTGCGCGCATACACGCACATGTACACATAACCTATCTATCTATCTATCTATTTATCTATCTATCTATATGTATATATAATTAAAGCAAGTAAAAGTTTTTGTCACTTAGCTGATTGATGCTATCTTCAGCATCCCGACTTCAATGTTTCGTAGACTGACCTGTCCGTCTATTCGTTAGGAGTATCAGTAATTGGCGGGCTTATACTTCTGGATGTATGTCTATATGAATGCAATTCAGATATCCCATCTGCAATCTTGAGGACTCATATACGTATACATTGTCGTGCACTGATCAATAAAGTGATAACCTTTCTTCAAACAAGAGTTTACAATTATTAGATATGGATATAGTAGGTTTATTTTTATTTATACTAGTTTGCTAAATGACAATGAGTACATTTGCTTCAGTAATTATTGTATTTATTTAAATTTTTCTTGTCTACGTATAACAGAGAGCAAATATGCCTCCAATAGAATGAAATATTATTCAAACATTTGTTATCTAGCATATTCAATTATATTTCTAGAGATTATCAAGTTAAGTTTTTGAATTCTTAAGTTAGACAAGAAATGACATTAATTCATAAATAAGCTAACTATATTTATCAGCTTTTAAATCCAATTATAATCCCAATTCCCAAACATGAGTATCTTGTTTAGTTTGCAGTTTATTGATTTTATCAAGAGATTTAAGTATCTAAAATTAGTTTTTCATCAAATGTTTTGATATTAAACGCATATTATTCACAAGTATTTATCATATACGAGTGGAAGTATCAGTGCTCAAGAAAAAAAAAGTTAACCCATAGAGTGAAGTACTTGTATTTTCAAATTAGGAATTGAATCTTTATACACTACAGCGAACACAATGCATCAAAAGTAAATTCGTAGATATTGTAATAGTAACTTTTTAAGACAAGTAATATAATAATATTATAATACTAGTAACTGATTTTTTTACTTTAAAATATTTATTTCTTACCATAATTACTTTCATTGTGAGTGTTTTTAATTCAGTGGTGAAGATTAATTATATGCACTAACGTCTACAAATAAGTACATCTGCATCAATATTTTTATAAATATTCTTCTAAACCAAAGATTTTATTTTATAATGAGGAGAAAGTCATCAAGACTACAAGGAGTATTATATAAGCCACAGAAAATATCTTCTTTCGCTATGAACTGTAATATATTCACATATTTTGGTTAAAGAGATTCAGTACTGGAGCGTTTGGTAATGAATGTTACGTATTAGTATGTTTTGATTGTATAATGTTTCACTATATATAATAAAATCGTACTGAGTTTGCTATCTGTCGGTGTTGTAATCGATAGTTGCTGTGAATGTCTAATCGGTGAGTCGAGATCGAATATTAGCCGAGTTTCGTTGAATTCCCTTTCACACAGATGCCCTTAATAATGAATGAATTTCTTTAAATTCATGGGCTAAATAGTTGAGCATAATGGGTTCTTCATCATTGGTTGGTAACCAGTATAGGAGAAAAAAAACTCAGAGTATGAAACTGGCGAAGAACATATTATGCAGCTAATAAAAGGAGCATGAAGTTCACAATGATTATAATCCCACCTGCGGTTCACTTAATGAATGTGAGATATGTATTAGTTTAGATCAAACACACATATATATATATATATATATATATATATATATATATATATATATATATATATATATATATATATATATATATATATATACGAGGGAGGACAAAATGCTGAGAGGCTGACTATAAAAATGTGATACTAGAGCTGTGAAATATTGCATGTGTTAATTTCAGCTCTTCTTATTAATAACTGCATTGTTTCTTTCTAAGTAAACTGACATTTGACTGTTCAAAGAAGTTTTCAAAAGTAACTATTAGTGATTTCTTTTGAAAATAGACAAATTTTGGCACCGTGGTTTCATCAAGTACCTGCAGAAAAATGGTTTCGCCCCAGAGGATATTCCCGTTGATAAGGACATTAGGGGATGACGCTCCAGATTTAACAACAGTGCAAATGTGAGCAGTTGAATTTAAGAGGTTAAAGGAGAGGAACATGACCTATAGTCTGGACGTCCTACATCTGCCACAACCGAGAAAAAGATTGATCATGTTCCTCGCATGGCGACGGATGACAGGCGATTGACTATAATTCAAATAGACAAAGATATTAGCATATCCTGTGAATATTCAGCACAATGAACTTGGCATGACGAAGGTTTCTCCTTGGTAGGTGTCACTTTTTCTGACACATGATCAAAAGCGTATCAGTTTGATGACATCACGAAAAAAATATGACATTATTCGAGGCAGATCCAGATGGTGTCCTTGAACGTTTCCTAACCCAGAATGAGTGTTGCGTTAATTGCTTTGAGCCAGAGACAAAAGAGATAATCTATGCAGTGGAAACACTCCTTGTCACCTGCTCCAAAGAAGGCCAAGGTTGTTTCAGCTGCAAGGAAGCTGGTGGCCTCAGTATTTTAGGATGCAAAAGGCATTGTGTTTATTGGCTATCATCAAAAGAACCGCACCACCAATGAAGAGTATTATATCAAATTGTTGAGGAAGTTATGAATGGCTATCAAAACTAAATGCCCAGGAAAACAAACGAAAGTGGGCTTCTTCCATCAGGACAATACTCCAGCATACAAGTCCTTGGTATCAATGGCTGTTGTGCGTGACAGAGGATTTGAATTGGAAGAGTATCTTCTTTATTCTCTTGATTTGGTGTCACCTGACTATTATCTGTTCCCCAACATAAAAAGAATAAAATTGGCTGGGAACCGATATCGTATTGATGATGATGATGATGATGATGATTATGATGTCATATCTGCTGATGACTATTTTAGCCAACGGAATGAAAACACCTTCACTTGTGTGATCCAAGCACTGCAGCACCAAAGTAAAAAAAAAAATGTGTGGACCCCAAGAAATGGGACTATGTTGAAAAATAAACCACATTTGGTCACATTCCATGAGAGTATCTTGGTCAGCCTATGAACTTTTCTGCCGGGCCTCTATATATATATATATATATATATATATATATATATATATATATTTCTGTGTGTGTATAGTGATTAAATGATTGTATCTGAGTGAACATGTCTGCAAGCGTAACTAGTTAATCACTGTTGTAAATTGTGGATTATTCTGAAACTATGCTGAGTAGACCTTAGTTACAGTTTCAGAGGGAACTCATAGTCTGACGTGATCAGTAGTTAACAAGACCGGTACGCTCAAATTCTCAGTTACGATGACTTGTGATTTCATACTAATACAAACATTGCCGGGTTCCGAACAGACTTATTTAGCCAATTTCATTGACAAGTCAACTCGGTTTATGGTTTTTCAAGCAGTTGCAAACAGTACAGCAGGCTTGGGCCGTCCCACTGGGTCGATATTATTAAGGTCACCACCTTGACAAATCGACCTTGATGAGATTCGAACTTGGATCTTATATATGCAAAAATAGGAATATATTCTGTCACAGAAGCATTATCAAGGAAGTTCTGGTTGACAAGGCTAATATACAAGTTAAAATATCACGTAAAAACCTAATAAAGGGCATATATATATATATATATATACATACATACATAAATACATACATACATACACACACACACACACACACACACACACACACACACACATATATATATATATATATATATATATATATATATATATATGCACAGTCTCTCTCTCACACATACATATATATTTATTTATTTATTTATCTATAACATATAATTCAGGATATAAACTTATGATTATTCATCAGAGTTACGACAAAGCCGACATAAATCACAAGAGACCTTTGGAACAGTAATTGTTCTATTCTATCTTTACTTCTACTGGTTTGTCAATGATTGCAAAATTATGTTGTCATACCAACCCGATCTTCGCTTAATCTCACTTCTGCTAATGTCTCTTATTGTACACTGTATGACATGAGATCCTGGTTATTCGAACGGAGTGACAGATCTTATGCGATAGATCGCAACATTGACCTCTACGGTATTAGAGACATGCGTAACTTTGCGCAATTTATAAATGGAATAAATGGAAAAACGTAATCGGCGTTTATATATTTGGTGATTGGAAGCGATATTAAGAATTTCAAATTGACAAAGAGTACATTTGTTTTAGCGACTGGTGCTAAACTACCAGCACATATTTCCCTTAAGTGACCATAATGTCTCCATAATGACGGTTTTCATCTTTTAATCTGCAAAACATACATCAAAAGCTTACCCTCTATAGGACAAGAAAGCTGTTAAAAACTGCTTCAGGTAACGTACACACTTTATTACATGACATAATTTGCACTGAACTTCAATATGCTAGAGAATGTGCATGGTATGTGTTAACATATCAACTGACTGAATATATATTTCATATATATAATGGGTTTACTAGAAAGTACTATTGACATACTACTTTCCAGTAAACCCATCTATATATGAAATAAATCTAATAATGGCATTCTAGCTTCGCTAGATGCTAAAAGTCGATAAAAAAAAACTCTGGTGAAATAGATAGTTTAGTTAATAAAACAACAACAAATGAAAGACGTCTCATGGGTAGCAAGTTGTAGAAAATATTGTCGGAGCAATTTTCAAGTGTAAAAAGATGGGCTGTAGTTATAATATGATGTGATGAAAAAAATGAGGAGAAAAAATGGAATATAGAATAATAAATATTATTAAATAAAATAAATAGAAAAGAAAAAGTGAATGAACAAAAATGCATAAAAATTTCGATAAAAATTTGGAAATCTATTAACAAAAAGAGAATGCAGAAAATAAAATAAAATGAAAAATAAAGGTAAAACTGGTAGGTAAAACATATACATATATAAATTATTCGTACATAACAAGTGTTTTAAATATACACAAGCCCCCACACAAAAATATGAATCTCAATACACGTAAAGATATAAATACATATAGAAGATTAATATGTATCTACACTAACTTCCCCCCTTTCTTACATAAGCTTATATATAAAGGAGCCATAGTGATAGAATCAATGATGGTATAAAAGAGGGTGATC